TGGGAGCTGGGGTGTAGGGAGGGGGTGATCAGAGGAGAATTTCAAGAGTGGGAGTTGTAATGGGGTACAGGCTGGTTCTCCTGTGATGAGCTGGAGAGTCGGGGGTTGGTGAGGAGAGGCCGGCTCACTCGATGTTAGGGCGTCTGTGTAGGGTAGGGACACGGGTAGTTGGTGAGGGGGTGGAGGTAGGGGTTGGGGAGAGAGACACTGAGTGAAATAGGTACAGGCAGACTGACTGACATACACATAGACAGACTGACAAATCGGCAAACACAGAAAGAAACAGACAGAAAGATAGACAGAACCACAGACAAACCCATGGACAGACAGACAGACAAAAATACAAATGTACACACACATATATACACATACACATACTCAAAGACACACAGACACATAAAAGCACAAACACACACAGACAAAAACACACAAACACGAAGACAAACACACACACAGACAAATAGGTGGGAGGGCTCTCGCGGCCTAGAGGTTAAGGTGTTGGCCTCTCATTCAAAAGTCCCGGTCAAAGGTCCCGGGTTCAAATCCAGGTACCGACCGAAAAATGTTCTTCTCTAAAATTGTCTCCTTTCACCTCCTTTCCTGCTCTCTAGCAATATTCTGTCGTCTGCTTTTGTCTCCTCTTTCTGCCCCCACCCCTCACCTCCTTTGCCCCCTTCTCTGGTATCCTGACTCTTTCTGCAGCCTTTCTACTGCTACTTCTTGGCTCCTTCTACTGCTTCTGGAAGGACAGATCTACACCTAGCCTTCTCGGACAAGGGCAAAAAATCTCGGAGGGCCCGTGTGCAAGTTACACACGTTGAAGATCCTGAGGTGGTCTAAAATTGATAGAGTAAGCTTCGGCCGCCACCAGGGCAAAATTCAAAATTTCTTACCAACTGAAAATATAAGGTGTGTCCTGCGCGCTCATATGACCTTATGCAGTTGCGAGCGCCGTAAAACACTTACAAAAAACAACAATAACAACAACAAAAATAAAAAAGAAGACAAATAGACACACACAGTCCAACACACACAGACAAGTAGACACACACATAAACACACACACAGACAGATAGGAAAATAGACACACGCATACATGCACA